ATCCACTGGAGAGGGGATAGGCTACCCACTCTAGTATTCTTGGGCTTTCCTTGTGGCTCAGCTGGTAAAGAATCTGCCTGTAATGTGGGAGACCTGGTTTTGACCCCTGTGTTGGGAAGATCCCCTGGAGAAGGGAAAGGCTAGCCACTCCAGATTCTGGCCTGGAGAATTCCATGGACTATATAGTCCATAGGTCACAAAGAGTCAGACATTACCTGAGGGACTTTCACTTTCACTCCCTAATAACTAAGATGTTGAGCATTTCTTCATATGCCAATTTACCATCAGCGTATTGCCTTCAGTGAGATGTCTGTTCAAATAAAGCTTCGCCCATGTATTTTGATTATATCGATTGTTTTCTTATTGAATGTTGGGAATTCTTGATATGTTCTGGATGCAAGACCCTTATTTGACATGTGATTTGCAAATATCAGGCCTTCCCAGGTGGTGCTAGTGGTAAAGAATCTGCCTGCCAATGCAGGAGACACAAGAGATCCTCTGGAGTAGGAAATGGCAACCCACTCCAGGATTCTTGCCTGGAAAATTCCATGGACAGAGGAACCCCCTGGGATACAGTGCATGGGGTTGCAGAGTTGGACATGACTTGAGCGCACATACTCTCTTGCAAATATCTTTTCCCAGTCTATGGCTGTTTTCTCTTTCTCTTAACAGTGTCTTTTGAAAAGCAGAACAATTTAATTTTGAAGTGGTTTTATCAGTTTTTCTTTTGTGAATCCTACTTTTTTCTTGTCATATTTAAGTCTTTGCCTAACCTTAGGTCTCAAAGGGTTATGGAATTTTATAGCTTTATGTAAATGTCTGATCTATTTTGAATTAATTTTTGTAAGTAGTGTGAAGTATGGATCAAAGTTTTTCCTTCCTTTCTTCCTTTCACGTATGGTTATCTAATTATTCCAGCAGCGTATACTGAATTACCTTTCAACTTTGTTGAAGTCAATTGGCTGTATAAGTGTGGATTAATTTCTAGACCCTTTCTTCTATTCCATTGATCAGTTTTTATGCCAATATCACAGTTACAGCTTTATAATAACTTTTGAAAACTGTTAAGTCCTTCAGTTTTGTTTTTATCTGCAGGTGGTTCTGGCTTTTAAGGTCCTTTTGCATTTTCATATAAATTTTAAAGTCAGCCTGTTTATTTCCACACAAAATAAAAGCCAGTTGAGATTACTGGGATTGCACTGGGTCTGCAGATCAGTTTGTGGAAAAATTGCCATTTAAATTTCCTTTCTGCCTTCTGGCTACATTGCTTCAAGCTGAGTAAACTTAGGGCACTTTACTCAATCTTTGTGAGCCTAAATTTTTTTCACTTACAAAAAAGATGTGATTATTTACTTATCTATAAGGTAGTGTGAGGTATAAATAAATCGACATTTGTGAAGTACTTTTGAAGTTCATTTCACTGTAGGAATGAGATTTGCAGGGTAACAACTTCCATTCATCATTTACCAGAAATACTCTGCTTTTTATATTTGCAAAAGAATAGCCCGTAGCCCGGAGAAGGCAATGGCACCCCACTCCAGTACTCTCCCCTGGAAAATCCCATGGATGGAGGAGCCTGGTAGGCTGCAGTCCATGGGGTCACTAAGAGCACAACTCAGCTACTTCACTTTCACTTTTCATTTTCATGCATTGGAGAAGGAAATGGCAACCCACTCCAGTGTTCTTGCCTGGAGAATCCCAGGGATGGGGGAGCCTGGTGGGCTGCCGTCTATGGGGTCGCACAGAGTTGGACACGACTGAAGCGACTTAGCAGCAGCAGCCCATAGCCCTTCATAGTCAGAAGCCCTCATTTCACAAGTGCTAACAGGTGGTCTCAAGTAAGGTGACATGGCCAAAATTACTCACCTAGCAAGAACAGTTGAGAACTCTTTTAATCTTAAATGTTAGCATAAGTTTGCAGACTCAGTTCATTCAACACATATTTACATAGTAAGTGCCAGCCACTGTGCAAGGCCCTCTGCCAACCTCTAGGGAGTCAAAAGTGAAGCCAGTAGTACTTCCTCTTCTCACAAAGCTTATGAACTACTGTGGAGGGTTGGGGCACATCACCTTTATTGCCAAGTGGATTTTGAGGCAGTCTGTGGAAAGTGCAATGTTTTTATTTTTTAAGGAAGCCAGAGGCTGAGTTTCTTTAGGGTTAAGTGTTTTGCCTTTTGTCATTGCTAGTTAGAGTAGGGGTGGAATTAGTCCAGTCAGCCCTCATATCTGTGGGTTGTGAGTCCATGGATTCAACCAACTGTGCATCAAGATATTTGGGGGAAAAAAAAAATCCCAGAAGGTCCCAACAAGGAAAATTTGAATTTGTGGCATACTCACAACTGTGTTTGGGCTTCCCTGGTGGCTCAATTAGTAAAGAATTTGCCTGCAATGCAGGACACCCAGGTTTGATCCCTGAATGGGGAAGATCCCCTGGAGAAGGAAATGGCGACCCACTCCAGTGTTCTTGCCTGGGAAGTCCCATGGACAGAGGAGCCTGGCAGGCTACAGTGCAGTGGGTCGCAAGAGTCGGATACAACTGAGTGACTAAGCACACACACAATTGTTTACATTGTACTTACAACTGTTTACATTGTATTAGGTTTTATAATTAATCTAGAGATGATGTAAAGTTTATGAAAGGATGTATATAGATTATATACAAAGGAACCTCCATACTGGTTTCACAGTGCTTATTCAAATTTGCATTCCCACCAACAGTGTACAGTGTTCCCTTTTCTCCATATCATTGTCAACATTTATTATTTGTGGTCTTTTTGATCATAGTCATTCTGACAGATGTGGTGTGATATATCATTGTGGTTTTGATTTTCATTTCTATGATAATTAGTAATGTTGAGCACGTTTTCATGTCCCTATTGGCCATTTTTATGTCTTCTTTGGAAAAATGTGTATACAGGTCTTCTACCCATTTTTTGATTGAGTTGTTTGGTTTTTTTGATACTGAGTTGTATGAGCTGTTTATATATTTTGGATATTAATTCCTTATTAGTCATAACATTTGCAAATATTTTCTCTCATTCAGTAGGTTGTCTTTTTGTTTTGTTGATGGGTTTTCATTGCTGTGCAAAAGCTTTTAAGTCTCCTTAGATTTCATTTGTTTATTTTTGCTTTTATTTCCTTGTTTTAGGAGACTGAGGTAGGCTTGCTTCACTATAACCTTTCCTCTTAAAACTGCTTTTTGTACAGGATGTATCTTGACTGTACCACCTCATTGCCCCTCCTGTCCGTCTCCTTGTGGATTTTTCTTTGTATCTTTAGTTGTAGAAGATCTTTTCTGGTAGATTCTATCACTCTTTCTCATCAGTAGTTGTTCTGATAATAGTTGTAAACTTCATGTGCCTGTGAGAGGAGGTGGGCTCAAGGGTTTTGTACTCCACCATCGTGGCCAGGATTATCTCTTGAGGATCTAATAAAATGATGGAAGTTTGAGTGTTTAGAATAATTATATGTGTATTGTCGTTCAGTTGCTAAGTTGTATCCCACTCTTTGCAACCACATGGCCTGCAGCACGCCAGGCTTCCCTGTCCTTCACCATCTCCTGGAGTTTGCTCCAGCTCATGTCCGTTGAGTTGGTGATGCCATCCAACCATCTCATCCTCTGTCATCTCCTTCTCCTCTTGCCTTCAGTCTTTCCCAGCATCAGGGTATTTTCCAGTTAGTTGACTCTTCACATCAGGTGGCCAAAGTACTGAAGCTTCAGCTTTAGCATCAGTCCTTCCAATGAATATTCAGGGTTGATTTCCTCTAAAGGAATCCTAAGATTGACTGGTTTGATCTCTTTTATATGAATATATATTTATTTATTTATATGTGTGTCTGTGTATCTGTATATCTACATATTTATATCTGTCTATCTATTGATACCTAGCAGGGCCTGTAGGACTCCTGGCACAGAGCCTTTCTGTGTCCCCCATTCATCTGATTGCAGAAGATAACTTTCATTCAGCCTCCCTGATCTTCACTGAGTTCCAGCAGCCAGATTCAAGCAGTTGTTAATCAGGAAAGGGAGGGGATGCAAGACAGGGGGAAACAGTCAAGAGAAACTATAGTGCAGCCTTGGGGCAAGGTCCTCGTTCCCCAGTAAGGGATACCCATGGCAATGTCTTTGAGCTGTTGTGCAGATATTGAAAACCCCACCAGAGGGGAGAAGTTAATGATTAATGAGGGTACGCTGCCCGCAAGCACGCAGACCCCAGACCAGTTGGAACCTGAAGGTTGATGATGCTGACCCTACTTACCACCAACCAGTCGCACGAATGTCCACAAATTGATCACACCTCATAACTATAAAACTTCTCACTACTCTCTCCAAGTTGGGACACACGATTTTGAGGGCATTAGCCTGCTGTGGCTTCCTTTACCTGGCAAAGCAATAAAGCTATTCTTCTTTAACTTCACCCAGAAGTCTCAGAGTTTTAATTCAGTGTTGGGGTACAGAGGTCAGATTCAGCTTCACTATCTATCTAAAATGCCATGCCAGTGTAAGATATTACTCTTATTGTAGATGCTTTGATTGCAATCGACTGAAAAAGAGACTATGTACCATTGTACATGAACAGAAGAGCCCGGTAGGCTACAGTCCATGGGGTCACAGGGAGTCGGACACAACTGAGCGACTTCACTCACTCACTCACTCATGTACCATTGATTAGAATCTACATTCACACAAACACTATATTTTCTGTTAAGCAGAGAAATAATAAATATTTGATTCTGTGGTAAATTTCTGATTTAGATAATATAGAAATTTCTTTTTGTGTTTTTTGTTTAAATTAATCCTTTATGTTGATAGACTTTAACAGGAACTTTACTAACTAGGATGTCCAACAGTGCTTGCATATTCAAGATAAGTTAATAGTTTTTTTTTTAAGTTATGGAAATGAGAGTTGGTACTCTGAGCAATAAATAGATGTATTGGCAAGCATGCACTTTTTTCCCTTTTATTTTGCAAAGTGATTTTCTTTTTTCTTTAATTTTAGGAAACAGATATTGATGACAGATATGGAGACTTGGATTCCAGAACAGATTCTGATATTCCAGAAATTCCACCATCCCTAGATAGAACCCCCGAGATCCTCAAGAAAGCTCTGTCTGGTTTGTCTTCAAGGTATGATTGGTTGAAGGTCAATCTGAGGGGTGAACAAGATAAGCTGTGAGGTTATCCTGGACCATTTCTTACACTGGTATAAGAAATTTCACTTTTTGTGAGTTTTAGAGCTGAGAGAAGACTTTTACATTTTTCACCATATATGAGCACAGTGTTGGAGGCTTGATATACATCCTTTCATTGATCTTTAAATTCTTAAGTTTCAGAAAACCAAGTCTGAGAGGTTAGCTGGTGAATGTTACAAAGCTAATAAGTTGTGGACCTGGCATTTCTGCCCCTGTCTGCCAGGTTTCTGAAGCCAGTGACTCATTTATCACATCAAGTTGCCTTTTCTGATACTGGGACATCTAATAAAGAAAATTCTGTATCCTCTATCCTCTGTTTTTCAAATGCCAGATGGAAATAGGTAATTTTTTTCCTTCTAATGGAATTTAAAATCATTGTCCAAAGACTCCACAACACTTTACCATTTTGTATTTCTGTTATACCTTTAAATGTCTAATAACAACCTAATTTTATATTACCCTCCATTGTAGTATGAATTATAAAATTTATAAAGGCAAAAGAAGTGTATAATCTGTTACCCAGATGAACATATAAAATCTTAAATATTGGTACAGAACACTTTTTCTACAATTTCTTAATACTGTGACACACAATAAGAGGTCTGTTTTCCACCATGCCCCGAGAGAGACACAAATTATATTTTAACTGCTGCAAAAATGTGATGAAGCAATTCTTGCCATAACTGTGTGTGATGCACTCTGATTTCTCTTACTTTTGATAACTGTTCTAGGTTCTTGGACAAAAAAATGCTGGAATACTAAATTGATTTTTACTACTCATGAGTCATAACTTTACTGATTTAGTCACATCTAGTAAATAAAATATGAGCTTTTCTGATTTTTAATTTCCTAGAGGATAGCAATATTAGAATAAACTGGTTCAAGGCAAAGTTTTCATGTTTTTTAGCCAACAGGAACAAATTTTGCTGCCTTATTAAAAGTATGATTATTACTTTAATATTTCTTGTTCCTAGTTGTTTTCATGACCTAGTTCACAGACGTACCTTTGCTTTAAAATCTCATCTGGTCTATCTTGGATCTGGATTTTTTTCTTTGTTGATGTCATATAAGAATAATGCTGGATTCCTGTGTGTCACTCATAACAAGATTTTTCTTAATATTTTTTTTTCCTGGCATAAAGCAACAATAGCAGGTAATAGTAGCTGGTATTTATTGACCATGTATATTTGCTGGGTGCTTCTCCAAGCACTTTACTTGTGTTGACTAATTTATTATCACATCAACCCTATAACACAGGTATGGTTATATTATACCTGTTGTATAAATGGAGAAACTGAAACACAGATATGTGTCATATCCAGGGTCATGTAGCCAGCAAGTGACAGAGCCACATTATGAAGCAAAGCATTGCACTCTATTTATTAATGATTTCGCTTTTAAAAAATAAACCGCAGATAATAAATGACTACTTTGAATCTTCTCAAGAAACTTCTCTGTAAAAATTAAATGAATGTTTTAAAATCTATGTTTTACACATTTTAGCCTCTTTTTATTTAATACCCCAAATATTCTGCCTGGCAAAGATTTAGAAATTGTAGATGCATAGGAGTAAAACTACTAATTGCATAAGAAATATACCTGGATTGCAGAAAAAAACCTGTAACCCTCCAACTGAGACATTACTGATGGAAATACTGTGATGTTTATCTTTGAAATGTTTTTTGCACTGTGTGCATGTGTGTGCCTGTGTGTGTAATGTAAAAGCAGCATTGTACTCCTTTCTGCCTTGCTATTTTCATTTTCATTCCATGGTATTAGAAACAACATCCTTAAATATATGTAAATACTTGAATGGCTGCATGATATATTCCTTGTACAGCTGTAGTTCAGTTTACTTAAATGTTGATGTTGCTAGATAGCCAATTTCTAAATTTTCACAATTAAAACCAACTCTGCTTTAAATGTATGTTTTTATAGCTAACTTTTACTTAGCATCCATAATTATTTTCTTCAGATAAAATTTTTGAATTTTATTCATTTATTTTTAATTGAAGGATAATTGCTTTACAGAATTTTGTTGTTTTCTGCCAAGTACCAGCACGAATCAGCCACAGGCATACACATGTTGCCTCTCTCCTGAACCTCTCCCCCAGCCCACCCCTCTAGGTTCTTACCGAGCCCCTCTTTGAGCTCCTGGAGTCATACGGCAGATTCCCATTGGCTTTCTGTCTTACACATGGTAACGTAGGTTTCCATGTTACTCTCTGCATACATATCCTCCCCTTCCTTCCCCCGCCCCACGTCCAGTAATCTGTTCTCTATGTCTGTTTCTCCATTGCTGCCCTGCAAATAAATTCATAGGTACCATCTTTCTAGACTCCATATATTTCTGTTAATATACAATATTTATCCTTCTCTTTCTGACATACTTCACTCTGTATAATAGGCTCTTGGTTCATCTGCCTCATTAGAACTGACTCAGAGCGGTTCCTTTTTATGGCTGGGTAATATTCCATTGTATATATGCACCACAGCTTCATCCATTTATCTGTCAGTGGACCTCTGGGTTGCTTCCATGTTCTGGCTATTGTATATAGTGCTGCAATGGATATTGGGGTACATGTGTCTTTTTAAATTTTGGTTTCTTCAGGATATATAACTAGTAGTGGGATTGCTGGGTCATATGGTGTTTTTTTTTTTTTCCCTGCTAGTTTTTTAAGGAATCTCCATGCTGTCTTCCATAGTAACTATATCAATTTATATTCCCACCAACAGAAGGTTCCCTTTCTCCATACCCTCTCCAGCATTTATTGTTTGTAGACTTTTTTATGATGGCCATTCTGACTGGAGCTCTTCTCTAAATGTGTGACAAAATTCACCTGTGAAGACATCTGGCCCTGGGCTTTTGTTTTTTGGGAGATTTTTGATCACAGTTTCGATTTCAGTGCTTGTAATTGGATTGTTCATAATTTCTATTTCTTCCTGGGTCAGTCTTGGAAGATTGAAGTTTTCTAAGAATCTGTCCACTTCTTTCAGGTTTTCCATTTAATTGCCATATAGTTGCTCATAGTCGTCTCTTGTAATCCTTTGTATTTCTGCATTGTTTGTTGTAGCCTCTTCTTTTTCACTTCTAATTTTGTATGTTTGATTCTTCTTTTTTCCTTGATGAGTCTGGCTAAAAATTTGTCTATTTTGTTTATCTTCTCAAAGAACCAGCTTTTAGCTTTATTAATCTTTACTATTGTTTCTTTCATTTATTTCTGCTTTGATCTTTATGATTTCTTTTCTTCTGCTAACTTTGGGATTTTTTTTTTTTGTTGTTGTTGTTGTTTTTTCCAATTGTTTTAGGTGTAAAGTTAGATTATCTATTTGATGTTTTTCTTGTTTCTTGAGGTAGGATTGTATTGCTATAGACTTCCCTCTTATAACTGCTTTTGCTGCAAACTACAGGTTTTGAGTTGGTGTGTTTTCATTGTCATTTGTTTCTAGGAATTTTTTTATTTCCCTTTTGATTTCTTCAGTAACCTGTTCATTATTTAGAAATGTATTGTTTAATTTCCATGTGTTTGTATTTTTACATTTTTTTTCTTTTAATTGATATCTAGTTTCATAGCATTGTGGTCAGAAAAAAGGCTTGATATTATTTCAGTTTTCTTAAATTTACTGAGGTTTGATTTGTGAACCAAGATGTGGTCTGTTCCAGAGAATGTTCCATATGCACTTGAGAAGAAAGTATATTCTTCTGCATTTGGATGGAATGCCCTGAAGATATCAATGAGGTTCACCTGATCTAATGTGTCATTTTAAGGCTTGTGTTTTCTTATTAATTTCCTGTTTTGATGATCTGTCCATTGGTGTAAGTGGGGTGTTAAAATCTCCAACTACTATTGTGTTACTGTCAGTTGTCTTCCTCTTGGATCGATCCATTGATCATTATGTAGTGCCCTTCCATGTCTCTTGTAATAGTCTTTATTTTAAGGTTGATTTTGTCTGATACAAGGATTGCTACTCCAGCTTTCTTTTGATTTCCATTTGCGTGGTATATCTTTTTCCAGAATCTCACTTTCAGTCTATATGTGTCTTTAGGTCTGAAGTGGGTTTCTTGTAGACATCATATATATGGGTTTTTGTATCCATTCAGTCAGTCTGTGTCTTTTGGTTGGAACATTTAATCCATTTACATTTAAAGTAATTATTGTTATATATGTTCCTATTGCCATTTTCTTAATTGTTTGGGGTTTATTTTTTTAAGATCTTTTTCTTCTCTTGTATTTCCTGACTATGTAAGTCCCTTTAACATCTGTTGTAAAGCTGATTTGTTGGTACTGTACTAAATTCTCTTAACTTTTGCTTGTCTGTAAAACTTTTGATTTCTCCATCAATTTTGAATAAGATCCTTGCTGGGTAGTTCTGGCTATTTGGTACTCCCTAGGGTTAGGAATCTCTGGTAGTCTAGGGTCTTGGAGTCAGCACTCTGGCTCCATAGACTCAGGGCCTGATCTCTGGCTGGAAATGGAGATACCACAGGTAGTTTGTTATTGCATTAAATGGGATTAAAACAAACACACAAAAATGAGAAACAAAAGGCACACCCCAGACAAATGGCAATTACAAAATCAGGCAAATAATAACTAAAATAATGGAATTTACACACATACCTATACACCCATAGGCAAAACCAAAACAGTCCAAAAAAAAAAAAAGTACAGTAGATTGACCTGGTGAACAAAGGAAATCAAAAGTGATATCCACCAGTTAAGAACATAACTAACTAAAGCACAAACTGGAAAACAAAACTAAATCAATATGCTAACTGGGGAATTTTTAAAGCAATGAAAACAAAGCTAACAAATATGGTGAGAAAAAGAAAAGAAAGAGAAGAAAGAACTAATAGAAATGCAAAGTTTAATAGAGGTAGATAAAGATTTATATGTATTAAAGATTAACTGCAACAGGAAAGGAATAGTAGGGAGA